TGTTTTTGTTCGCCGGTCACTGGGGAGTCAAGTGACACTTATAATTCCTATGCGGGAGTGTGTTTGTTTACTGTTGATGGAGACTTGTTTTCAAACAAATCATAATCATGACATTAGTTATAATAAATTAGGAGAACTGAGTGCCAGGACAGGACGTTTGGATGACATTTTAACTTTGCTGACAACATTGTGCCTGAGCTTTTGACTGGTTTTGAAGATATGGAGGATATTTTACAAAAAATTTACCCCCCCCCCCCTAAAACCACGAGACACATTCGTTACAGTTTCTCCCGGGAGAATTCACTATATATAGTATATGGAAGAAACGGGTTGATTAGGAGAGTATCACATGCATTGCTTATAAGAGAAGTTATTTATGTTATTGAGAGCAAGAATGTGTAAGATCTCTCTAACTTTTCTATCAAAGCCAGGCCAGAATCTGACCATTTTCCACTGTTAGATCTAGTATTGTTTGAGGTTTTCAACCTTTGTACATAATGACACCAATGAAAATGTTGAGTGTGAGATTGAACTCTGAGTCATTAATGTTACGGCTCACGTGGAAAGAAACTATGAAAAACGCTAACATTATGTAGAAAAGCTTGAAAAACTATTAATTGAATAGCATGCTTTGGGGAGCATGATATGTTTCTGTCATGTTTAAAGTCTCAATCATGTCGACTCTGCTTGTGATGTTTTGCAACAAGTCTTTCATTATCGGTAGGAGACATGAAAACTAAAAGCTAAAGGGACTCAACTATCTCTACCTGCATGATTTTCACAGAACAAATAGTTCGAATAATATTAATAAATTTCTTGAAGCCAAGAAGAACTGAATATGTATTTCATATTTAAAGAAAAAAACCCCCTGTGATAGGCCCTACTCTAGCAAAAAGTCTCCGTAAGACCTAGCTGAAAAACAATCAGTCATTTATTATGGCAAAATATTAATACATTTTAATTATGTGTGTTCCAAGTTCACTCAATGTATCTATATGACCACACTCGTGCGTGTATTGAGATGCATCAACACTGATGGAATATGGACGTATACAATGGGACCCAACACTGAACCTTGGGGCACCCCCGACACCTAATTTAACAGCTGACAAGCGACAGTCATACCACAGATTGTGTACCGCCAACGTCTATAGTGCTGGACGTATAGACTATACTGAAGGTCTTGTAGTGTGTGGTCAATCAGGTAGAACTTGAACCAGTCGAGAACTCTGTCGGACAGGCCAAACCTATTGAACAATCGTTCAATAAGAATAGTGTGAGTGTGATCTGTATAAAGCTGTACTAAGATCAAGAAGAGCATTACAGACTGAAATTTTATTCTTTAACAGTTTCCCATGAAAGTCGAATAAGCCATTAATTAATATATTTTCAATAGCGCGATTCGATTAGATTGATATAATTCTGCCGTCATGTTTAAAAGTACAGTAATATGCAGTTTTTACAATTTTACAGAAGAGCAAAAAACAATTTAAAACAAAACAAAACAAAAATCACCCCCCCCCAACAAAAAAGTAAAAATAAAAAACAACAGAAAAAACCCACCACTACCATCAACAACAACAACAAGAACAAATCAAAACCAAACCAAACAATCCTTTAAAACCCAAAACAAACAAACAAACAAACATGCAAAAACTGAATGTTGTTACCAAGAAAACAAACTCTTTGCAAACATCGTAATTCAGTATATTAATGACTACAGTTTTGAACTGCCGTATCATCTTCAAAGCAGATGTTGTTTTCTTGGTAACACCATTCCGGGGTTGTTGGGGGTTTTTTTTTTGGGGGGGGGGGGGGGGTTGTTGCTTAAACTGTTTTTTTTTAAAAATGAAGGCAAAATTCATATAAACTGTTTAACTTAAAAACGATTCTTGAATAGATCTAAGATAACCAATCTCCATTTTTTTGGGTCTTCCGACTGAGAACACAACACACACGACTGAGACAACATATTTACTGATGTTTTAAATGAGGCCTAGATCAAGATTCTAGATCTAATACAATCACCAAAATGCCAGTGTGGAGAGGGGACCAAAGTGTGGAAAAGCATCCTTCAGCACTGCAGAACTGCAGATTTGGTTTTCTTAGAAGAAGTATGCTTATATAGTTAATTAAGCATGCTTAATTAAATAATGATGGTAACACTCCAGACTGAAAAGACCAATTAATGATGGAAGTAAGGTCCACCTCCTAAATGATCTAAATGATTGTGTCCGTGAAGGCGATAAAGTAAAACACCTAAATTAAAACAAACAAAAACCTTTGGTTTTGATTCGCTTTCACTTTTTAGCCATATTAAAATCGTTTAACTTTTATAAGTTAGAGCTCCAGGAGACGCCCCTGTAATACTTCCGGTAAATTCGTCGCATGCTGTTTTGGTATGGCTGTATTGCGTACGATTGCCGAAGAAAGACACGACCACACAGAAAGCCTTGCTTGAATTTGCTTTCACGGCTTCAGCTCATTGGAAAAGGGAACGGTAAATGTAAAATATGGCCAATATTTCAACACCATAGTTTATTACACGATCTCCCGGAAGGTAGATCTAGGGGGTAAGTCGTACGCGTCGGCGGGTATCCCGGTGACGGTGAGAAAGGGTAAATTACTGTTACTGTACTGTAAAACGCATCTCTGTGGGTATCACGGTGAGAAGGGTTAAAAATATGTGTCTACGGGTAACCTGGAAATAACGAGATTGCTATGCAGATGTCTTGGAGTTCCATCTTTGGAGATCAGCAGCATGCCAAAGAGTAGATCTACTGTCCTCCTGGCCTCAAAACCACATTTTTTTTCTCGGAGTGTCTACGACAGTCTACGTACACGGTAACCGGGCACCTAGTCTCAGTATCTATGTACACGGTAACCGGGCACCTAGTCTCACCTAGTCTCAGCATCTACGTACAAGGTAACCGGGCACCTAGTCTCTGTATCTATGTACACGGTAACCGGAATGAAAATAAATCAATATTTATCCCGTGCTGTCTCTAGGTCTAGATCTAGATCTAGATCTAGATCTAGCTGATACTGATACAAAAAAATCACACAAGCGTCTTGTCGGGCTCTCCATCGTGACCGGTCAGTGAACCTGTGCTGGTGCATCATATTGTGAGTACCGGTTGGGGTCACCAAAGTTCATTCAAAGTCTGTGCGCTGCGAAGTATAGGGCTCCAGAATGGGGGGGATTATTGATTTTTTTAAAGGTACAGCCGGGGGAGGGGTGGGGAGGAAGGCAACCCCAGATGACAAAAACTGGACTTGGAGTTCTGGACTGCCCATTTACCGTGTACGTGGTAGAGAGACTACGTGCCCGGTTACCGTGTATGTATATACTGAGGCTACATGCCCGGTTACCGTGTACATGACATTGAGACTACATGCCCGGTTGCTGGTTACCGTGTACGTAGACACTGGGGCTAGGTGCCCGGTTACCGTGTACCTAGACACTCTATTTTTTTTTCTTGCAACCTCCTTCTTGTCCAAAAGTAAAAATGTAGGCCCTAGGCTACAACTGTATAGTATAACAATCTTTTCCAGATTTGCCCCATTTATTCATATTTTTTTTACTTTGCTTTATGCTGAATCCAGAAAATATAGTTATATATCGCTGGTGGAGTGATGAAACCTCGTAACCCTCAATTTTTTTGAAATTCTTTTTTTTGGCTTAATGTCTTCTCCCAGTCCTTCTTCACGATGTGTCAAAAGCACAAGGTTAAATTAGTAAGAGAAAGTATGAAAAAAAATTAATAAAAAAACCTCATATGTTTGCCCCCATGATATCCTGGCGTGATGAAACCTCGCAACCCTCACCTGGTGCGCCGATCTGCTTTTGTGTGGTTTCATCACTCCCGGTTTGAAAGAGCGGTGTGCTTATACGAGGTTCTGGATAAGCCTTCTTTATGAATTAGCTTAATTGAAGCACCCATAACTGACATTGTCTGGTGCATTTAATGTATCTGACGGAATAAAGAAATATTTCATTCATTCATTCATCCTTACATTTATTCATTCTTTTATTTATTCACTTTATTTCAGTCACTTCAGAAGTTCAAATATGGTCATAAGTGAAGTACTTACACTGTGTAAATATATTAAAAATCCATATACTACATGCTGGTAATCAAGATGTTCTCATCGAGCACAAACGTAGTTAACGTTTAAGTTAAGGCAACAGTCACACCTTGAAATGACAGGTGACGGTAGTCCTTACTAAGACTAGGTGACAGATCTGTGCAATCTCCTGATGTCAACAGGCCATTCTGTTTATCAAAGAGAGGGTAAGGTTTCGCATCTTCTCAGACTATTTTTGGTTTTAGTACAGGTTTTACGGCGCCCGCAACTGCATACGGTCATACGAGCGTCAAGGATTGAATGTCAACAAAGAGTCCTTATAGGGACTCAGACTTACTCTGCTCGCCCCTCTAGCATCAGCAGCACAAAGTCTGCTTCAACTTTCAAGGCAACCCGGAAATAGCGGGTCACAAGAGTGTGACAAACATACAGAAGTAGAAGAAGAAAATGACGATAGTAAGGATTATGACAGAAAAAGCAGCAGTTCCCTGTTGTAGTTCAGGCACAGTTATGAGCATGACATTGTTGGACCAGTCCATTTACAATTCTACTGTGCACTAGAACGAGAAATGTCCCCCCCCCCCCCCCCCCCCTTTGGTAATGGCCTAAAGACATTTCTGTCAGTGGACCGCCTCGGGGAGTCTCAGACTATGAATCCGCTGTGTAGTCGAATCCTCCAGTTGTGGTTGAGACCGAATAGTACTGAACTTAACCATGGTCTTGAAGACTCTGAAGTCTTTAGAGGACATTGTGACAAATTTGTGCCTCAACAACTCAAGTAATACGGACATTTCCGAATCTGTATTGAATATCTCCTTCTAACTGTGCTCATCACCTAGATCTTTATACCCTACAAGGGCTGGTTTGGAAACCACTGAGCAGACCACGTTCCATGAATTGACCCCAGCCACCATGTCGCAGTCCTTTCCAGGGCTGTTCCTGATATGTGGAGATAAGGAAGTATCAGCTTCATCCCAGACTGAGTCTGCACCAACACCGGTGTCGACTGGAATCATACCTCAAACCATACTGACGTTTCACCAGGCAGCTGTAAGTCAGATGCTGAATTATTACCTGCGAGGTCACAGCAACACGATCTGTAGACCATATTCAGGCACCTTAGCCACTTTTCCTGGAGCCTGATCCCGAGACACAGCCCATTTGTGATGCCAACATAAATGATGCTCCACAGAGGAAAAGAAAGGGTTTTTAGCCATTTTAGGAGTGGCAACAAGTAAGCGAAAAGCTATCCGTTGTTCAGGACAGGATCGGAATACGTAAAGGTTCAATGAAAATCCCAGCTAAATTATTGAAACGAAACTGTGATTGCAAGAGCTGGACTCTGAAATGTAAAGGGCTCTCTGAAGTTGATAGACATTCTAATTTTTGATTTAGTGTGGACCCTTTCATGGGATGACTAGTGGACCTCGGATGAGGTATTCAGAGACTAACCAGAGAGGGAATACCTTCTATAAACACTTTTAAAAGGTGGCCATAAGGTGCCAGTGTGTTTAAAGATGTTCCTGAATTGAACTGGGTTGGATGAATGATTTGTAAGAAACTTAGAACCAATAATTATCAAAGCAACTCAGGTATCTACAAAATATACAATTCTGCCCAGACCACGGGAGGTGGCCTCTCAAAAGACCCGCCCTCGATGAAGCATTCAAGCAGAATCACCTGTCGCTGTTCATGTCAAAGATAGATATGTGTGACCTTTGCATCAGTCGTGAAGTTGACAATGTGCTGGAGGATCTTTGGAATGCTCACATTCTAGAAAAGGAGGCAGAGCGCAAGGAAAAGGAACGAGATAAATCTGAAGCCATCAAATCTCTAGCCAGTAATGAACCTAAAACGGCGGTACTTTCAATGGATCTTCAGCATCAGCCTTACATTACAAAACGAAACTCGCCGTTCATAACTTTACGCTATCGGATGCTGCAACACGTCAGACTACTTGTTGCGTGTGTCATGAAGCAGAAGGGGGACTTATGGCAAATGAGTTAGCTTCATGTCTATTGGATTTCCTGAAGGAAAAGCTGGACTTCCAGAAAACCATTATCGACAGCGACAACTGTGGTTACCAATACTTTGAATACAGAAATGCCACACAAGAAAATGTTTCTCTCAGCCTGTTTTCAACAACACATGGAAGCACAATTGAACAAAAACATTATATCAAATGACAAACACATAGGGAAATTAACAGTGTGAACTCAACTATTAAGAGATCGCTTTAAAAAAGATGCATCGAGGTCCTCCAAGACTACCTCCATTTCTTCATGATGGCAAGAGCAAAACAAGAAACTTATCAAAACAAATATTCGGATCACACAATCTTCAAGGAATATTCTAAGTCTGGAAGCTACGACAAGTCTATAAAACTAGGTAGAAAAACGGGTGATCCTATTGTCAGGTGTTTGAAGTACATCCCAGACATGAACACTCAGTTCAAGATACACCTCAAATATGAATGGGCTGCCGTTCCGAAGGCAGGACACAGAAACATAAGATCCATCCTACCACACCACTCTACACAAAACGTTAAAGTACAATCACCTACAGGAGCTTAAATCTGTTATTCCCAATATGCATCGTCACTTCATGACAATTTATACCATTAACATTAATGGTTGTTCATTATGATTCAAATCTCTTATGAAAACCATCTGTAGTGCAAACAGAGACCATATTGCAGAGATTTATTATTAATTTGTGCATTTTAGTAAAACTGGAAGTAACCAGATCTAATCTTGGCAAATTATAGTGAAACAAATTGCATTAATTGCAATCCGTTTGAGGATTCAAACATAAATTCTGCAGGTAACACACATTTATTTGACTTCAGTTGGCCGGGAATCGAACTCCAAACCAATTGGTTTCGAATAAACATCTTTATCACTTTGTGGCGTTTCAAACAACAGACGCATTTTGCTACCAAAATGAGCAGCGAGAAAACTCGCAACCCTCAAACTCTGTCCTGATGAAACCTCGCAACCCTCCCGCCGGCTGACTACGTGGTTTCATCACGACAAAAATGGTGTAATGAAACCTCGCATCCCACAGCGTAACCACATAAACAATAGAAAAGTTATTTTTATGTACTAACCACGTTTCTATCATGTTTTTATCTATCTGTACCAACTTTGGTTCATATAGGTCATTTTATTCAAGAGTAAATCAGTTTTTTTTCTCTCCTGTAAAATTTTCCTTTCTGGGGTTACGAGGTTTCATCACTCCACCAGCGATATGCAGATCTGGAAATTGCGCAGGACAGTGTCCAGCACCGAATAGTATTGTAAAGTAATCAGGGCCAAGACCTTTGAGATGGTGGCACTGATACCTGTTGCTATGGTACTGTTGATGCTGATGCCTGTAAATTCATTGTTTTTATCTCCGCACTGATAGGTGAAAGACAAACCTCCTTTCATTTCAGTCGGGAACAAATGAGTAATATGTTTTAATGCCGTCTTTAGAATAGGTCTTATGAAATGAAGCATTTATTCGTTTCTCTTTTATTGGACTATTTTAAATTTCATTTACCATCTTTTACGACGCTAGAAATCCAGTATTAAGTATAGGGAGAAAAAGCAGACTCAGTAGATTTTTAGTGCACGCCTGTCTATAAGCATGAATAGTCGTCATCCTGGTCAATGAACTCACGGCTTGCAGTCAAATTGTCCCATAATTTGCCTTCAACTGCTCCTGTTTATATTTTGTAGTTTTGTTTTCCAGTAAGACGACTGTCACAACATCGCATTCTTGTAATGGGATTATAGAAAGAAGAAAGAATGAAATTATGAAGTTTACAGAATGAGTGTTGAATTAATTATAGCATGCATGTTATTGCTTTCTGATGGTGTGAACTCTTCTCTCTTTAGTCTGCCTTTCCCTTTTCTAGACTAGATTACTTTTATTTACTTACTATTGAGGTTTTAACACAAAACCTTTGTATTTCTATTATGACCCCCTACATGATTTTTCAGTAAAAACTAGATGAAGAGTATTACACCCAACTATGACATTATAGTGTCTTTAGCTTTTTCACTTCCAGGTCTGGTCATTTGCTGTCAATACTTGGCAATCATAATCTTTCAACCACAAATTTCTTTGATTATGACAACACTGCAAAATGGAGCAATCCACCCACCCGCCCACCGCGATTGTATACGCCATCGCCCTTAGTCTAAATGCCCTCAGTGGTGTCGTTATCGTGGCCAACCAGGAGGGACGTACGCTATGCAAGATGTGTTATTGCAGTAGGCTGTGGTTGATCGGGCCAGACTTACAGTAGACCGACGTAGCATGGTAGACCTTCAACTAAACCAGAAGTGTATTTTGTTTTGTTTTTTCAGAGGGGGTCATATCTTTCAAAATTGCTTCAGCAGTAGAATGGCCTCACCCTTCCTATCAGGACTTTGCAGCTCTTGTCCTTAACTAAGATGAAAAGATAAAGTAATAGTATTCAGTATTCAATGAAAACAGTGTTTCAGTCTGAGTGGAAAACTGATTAGGGTTGATCTTTATCACACACCTGCCAACCCCTACGCAACGGAATGTTTGTAAATTTCTCCAAATCCTTGCTGTAAGAGAAATATGGATGGAACTAATACTCCTGTGCAAAGTAAAATAATTTTTCTTGAACCCATTGTTTTTGCTTTCACAGGCCACAAAAGCAAAAGTGCCATCCTAGTTGGTCATGGAGGAACAACCATCAAACATGGAGAAGGAGGAGACTGGTACAAATGCAAAAAATGGTGCGCATTGCGAACCACCTATCAAGGAAGGTGTTGCTGACTCCCAGTCTGTCCAAGGTCAGGAATCAAAGAGTGCAGCTATAAGTCCAGAGCTGAAGGGTAGCAGAGGAAGTGGAGAGACTCCTGTCACCAGGAAACCAGGATATGCGCCAATTAAAGCAGAGTAAGCAACTTTATGGGGCATAAAAAAACTACTACATGTACTGGTTTGATTTGCTCTACAGAATTACCATCTTTTCTGCTCAGACATGTGGGTAGTTGGTGAGTGCTCTGGTGTGATTTGCCCCTTTTTACCTATAAAAAATCTATCATCCTTATCTCTCTTTTTTGTGTGTTTGTTACTCTATTGTAACACCACTTATCTTCGGAACTTTTATGACTTTATTGTGTTGCAAGTGCTGTAGAACTCTACACTAAGACTAAAATTAACTCATCAGAACCAGACAATGGAACCGTGTGTCCAGTTTGTCAACAAGATTATATTTTCAGTAATGTTCTGGCTCTGTGTCTCTTGATCGCACTATCTTTGCTATGTCATACAGTCTTTTTTCCTCCGCAAGTTCTTTTCAGTACAACTGTTTTCCTGTTCCATTTAGTTTAGTCAATGTGAACATTCCCCTAACCCCCATTGTGTCTGGCAATTTCCAGTAACAAAATTTTAAGTAATTTTACCATGTAAGAACTTGCTCCTTGTTCATAATTTTATATCGTTGCCCGAATCATGTATTATCGTAACCGACATATCACCTGAAAACGGGTCTATAATACAACCCGATTACAATTTTTACATTCTAAATTCTGTCAAAATCTGGATTTGATACCTTTAATAGTCACTGAGGTACACTTGGTTCATGAGGTATTGTATGCACCCTCTTGAATATAATTCAGAATCACATACTAATGCAAGGGAAGATACGCTAGTACGTGGACCGTCTCTTTCATCATTTGTTAATTTGTATGCTCACGCTGTTAAGTCGTGTACTAACGTAAGTAACAAAAATCTCAATACTAATCTACATGACTGCTGCGTTGAATTAAAATTTTTCAAGACCATTGCACGTAAACTTTCTCTCTCTCTCTCTCTCTCTCTCTCTCTCTCTCTCTCTCTCTCTCTCTCCCTCTCTCTCTCCCTCTCTCTCTCCCTCTCTCTCTCC